TTGGAAGCAAGAACAGCGTTTACACAGAACTAAAGAAGGAGGCCCCATCTCATATCTTAATCAAATGTGTTTGTCATTCGGTGCAACTGGCAGTAAACTACGCTTGTAAGCACTTTTTTCCAGATGATTTGGAATTTTTGATTTATGAAACTCATAATTGGTTTTCAAAAAGCTCAATTCGCCAGTCGCTATATAAAAAAATATATGAGTCTGTCAATAACGAAAAGGTATTTTTAGTAGAAATGAATATGTCTGTTTTATATGTGTATATCTATCTTTTTATGCATTAATATTTCTAAATCGTTAAAAAAAAGTCTAGATTCTACTAATTCCACGTGATTGTTTACCTATAGTAAGTGTTTGATACTTGTAGAAGTGATTGTCCCAAAAATATGTAAATTAATGTTAAAGGCCCCCCTTAAAATTCCAAGGGTTTGTGATACTAGATGGTTATCCATTGAAATGGCAGTAACTCGAATTTTAGACCAATGGCATGAACTGAAAACTCACTTAGGAATTGCTGCTATGAGTGAAAAATGCAAAACCGCAAAAATCCTGTACGAATCTTTCTGCGAAAAAAAAACTATTTGTACTTGGTATTTTTAAAGCCTATATTGCAGGATATGCAAGAAATCAACTTGTGCTTCCAAAGTAATTCGGCTAATGCGACGATGCTTTTAAGTGATCTTATACTCGCTATCAGATCATTACGACAGAAAATAATTCCTCCTGATATTGATGTTGACATTATTAACGACGATGACTTCGAAAAGCACGTCAAAAGCGATTTAGAACTCGGCTTCGATTTTGAAAAAGAAGTCAAATCAATGAATATAGAATCCGTCGAAGAAATGGAAATAAGAGAGTGCTGTTCCGGTTTTGTAGTAGAGCTAGCCAAACAGTTGAAGCAAAGGTAAATATCATCTTTATTTTTATTTATATTTTGTAGTATATAATTTTTTTTTTAATTTCAGGCTTCCGGACAATTTTAACATATTAAAACAGATTGATGCATTCTCTGTTGAAAATATTTTAGAAATAAAAAAAAAACAAATCTCTCCAATCCTTGAGTATTTTGGTACTCCCAATATAGCTCAAATTGAACGACTGTACAACGACATAACCCTGGTAGAGTGGGAAAATGTCGATGATACTGTTAAGTTCTGGGCTGAAGTTCTTAAATATCGGGATTCTGGCGGAAACTGCCGTTTTCAGGAATTGGCTTAGTTGCTCTGCAAATGCAGTCCGTGCCTTGGTCGAATGCCGACGTCGAGCGGGTGTTCAGCCAAGTAAATTTATTAAAAACGAAAATTCGAAATAGCATGAGCGTTGAAACGTTAATCGCTATACTGAGTATAAGGTCCATATTTTAATTTATTTGTATCTTCAAATTATAAATTCATTTACTTAAAATTTTAGGTACGGGCTGCGTCGACACAATAAGTGCTGTTTTAACTATAATATACACCCCAGCTGCCTATCTACAATTGAAGACAAGAAATTTTATCCAACTGATGATGATGATAATATTGACGACATCTTAAATATAATATAGATCTTAATTTTGGTACATTATTTTTTATTTTGGTTTCTTTGTAATGATATCCGTTAGAGAATTACCCATATATTTTATGTTAAGTGGAACTGAGGGTTTATTAGTGAATAACATGCAGTACATTGCCCTATAAAAATCAGTTTTCTTCTTAACTTTATTTCTCTGGTATTCCGCTTCTTTTTAGCTTTTTTTTTTCGTTGATCCAGCTTTTATTGCTCAGAAAAAAATGAAACCACTGGTTGTCGCTACCGCTGTTGTCGCTGCCGCTGTTTTGGCTGCTGCTGTCTTTGTTGCCGCTGTTTTTCACTGCAGCTGTCTTCGTTTTATTTTTATTTGCACAAAGTTTGTGAATTTTTCGTTCTCTTTTTTTTAAGGGTGGGGAATTTTTGCTGTTCACGTTTTTTTTTTATTTGTCGTAAAAAAATTTCTTGGCGTATTTGCCCTGCCAATTTAATACATTGCACTTTTGTGCTTTTTTATTAATTATTTAATTAATTTTCACTACCGATAGCAATTACTTTTGTAAATGCATTAAAGTTCGTATCGCGTGAGTGGGTTATGTTGGGCGCCAGTTAATTTGGACTGACCTTTATATTATTTCTCACTTTCACTCGTGCCCGTTGGGGCAAGGATCCGTTAAGTAATAAAACAATTGATTAGGTTTCACTTATTTATTTTCCTTAGGTAAAGGATAGTATTTGGGTTTACAATATTTGAGAGTTAAAAATTATATCTTCTAAGCCTGTTAAGGTAGAGGATAATATAATTGATTCTTTGATAATTACACAGCTACGGCTGCGGAGTCTGAATTTAAAACTAAAACTAAATGTCCGATCCGGCTGCGCGAGTGTTCTGGCCGGGAACCGTGGGATTGACTTCAGAGTGCGGAGTCGACGATTTCTTTAATGCGCGTGTTGGCCACTTCTGATCGGGCTCTGGGTGATTGTCCCCGGAGTGCAGAGTCGGCAGTTTCCCTAATCCGTGTGTTGGCCAAACATGATGTGAACTGTAAAAACCCCGTATATTCGACTCTTTCATTTTTGAGCCCCGTTAAATAGAAATCTCGATAAATCCAATTCCCGTCTAATTCGTAAAAAAAGCGAAGATTTATTTCGCTTTTACCAAGACAAAGATCCCAAGCATAACTCAGCGATCGTTCAAACTTGACTCTAACAGTGACGAACTAAATTATTGATCTTTTAGCCACGATTTCTCCTCTTTAATTTAAATTTAGATATTTAAATAAACAAAAATGTAGATATAAAATTAAAAAAAAAATAACATGAGAATATGTATTTCAATATTATTTCCAATGGTTGGTTTGTAAAATGAAAATAACAAATAAAAGGTGAATTTCCATGCACAAAATTATTGGAACACTTAAGATTTAATTATATTTTTTCGCCTATTATCATCGATCTGGCCACCTTTTTTCTTCAGAAGTCCCGTTTTCTTTATACTTCATCAATTAATCCAAATATGGGCGGAATACAGACGGACACTATAGAATCGCACCTAAAAATTATCATTCACTTGCATAATCAAGGAAAATCTTATGCTGAGATCGGAGAAATTATGGACAGAAGTTGATACACAATTAGGAGAGTCGTCCAGCGTTTTGGAGAACCTAAGGCTTTGACCGCCCGGAAACAGGACAACATTATAAAAAAGGTAAAGGTGAACCCAAAAATTTCTTCAACTCTGATCGCCGCAGAAGTAAAAGAGCAGTTTGGAAAAGAAATTCATCTAATAACGGTGCAAAGGACCTTTCATCAGGCAAATTATAATGGCCGAGTGTCTAGAAGACAGCCAGATATATCAAAAGTAAATCAGAAAGAATATTTGAAGAAGCCAATGGATTTTTGGAACAACGTAATATTTTCTGACGAAAGCAAATTTAACATTTTCCAATCTGATGGCCGGCAACACGTTTGGAGAAAACCGAATACTGAGCTGCAAAATAATAAAATTGTATAGACTGTGAAACAAAGTGGTGGAGGCTTTGTTGTGTGGGGCTGCATGTCCGCTTCAAGGATCGACGAACTGGAGTTTATAAAAGGCATCATGGATAAAAAATGTTATCTAGATATTTTAAACTTGCCGCCATCATTCTGATTTCAACATGACAATGACCCAAAGCATACGGATCACGATGTGCGTATGTCGATCGCACATAACGTCCAACATACTTCTCTGCATCTTCCTCAATCAGCAGACCTCAATCCTATTGAGCATTTGTGGGAAGACTTGGACAGGCGCGTTAAAAAAACATACAATAAAAACAAAGGCTGAGCTGAAGGTGGCTGTAATAGAAGAGTTGCAGAATATTGGGGCAGAAACAAACCCAAATTTGGTTTCATCGATGCGGTTTGAAACCGGTAAGAACAAAATGACAGCCACAAGGTATAAATTTTAGTTATTTTCATTTATTTTTAAGTTGTGCAATATTTTGCCAACAATTTAGTTCATGGAAATTCACCTCTTATTTATGTTATTTTAGTTTTAAAAATCAACCATTGAAGGTTTTACCTAGAAGAAATAAATTTTTTTTGTAATTCATTTTTCATAATATATATAATATATATATAAAATTTATTTTATTGAAAAACCTCTATTTTAAGGGGAAAAATCGTGCCTAAAAGTTCATGAAGCCCACCTATGCCAAAAATTTAGTTTGTCACTGTATAGTTTGTCACTGTATGCACAATCATCAGACCTAAACACCATAGAAAACCTGTGGTCTATTTTAGATACGAATATCCGCAAAAAGGCAGATATCGAACAAAAACGATCTCAAGTTGCCTTGATGGAAGTGGGCCAAAATACTTCCAGAAAGTCTATTCTAGTCTATTTAACAACGCCTCAAAATGGTCATAGACTAGAAGGAGCCCATACAAAATGTTAAAATATGTACACATGTATCTCTGCGTACACCACCAAAAATATTAAAAATCAAACTTTCAACCCAAATCGTTTAGCCATTTACGCTTATATAAACTTTTTTTTAAACATTTATTGTCTTCAATGACGTTTTTTAGAATTATTTAACAATGTGTTATATTTTATTTTTAATTTTAAACATAACGCTTTCTTTTGATGAGCGAAAACTGATCGCAAAGTTTTTCCTAGAAGGAAAATCTGGGAAATTGGTGTTCTTGTTGGCAGAGCACACTCTTCCATTCAAAAAGTAATAAATAATTACAACTCGACTGGCATAAGAAGTATATTAAATAGAGTAAAAACAAGGAATTTCTTCTACCACGTTCTGGGCGCCCAAAGTCACTAACCATCAGAGAAGAAAGGAAAATTTTGGAAGAAAATAGGAAAAACACCCACTCATCGGCTTCAAAAATTAACACGGTCATCTCCACATCCTTGGGAACCAATGTTTCCCGAAACCGTGCGAAATGTACTCAGAAGTCATAATTTACACGGTAGAAATGCAAGAAAGAAACTATTGACTTCAACTCTCAACATATCAAGGCGTCTTTCCTTTTCTAATACCTATTTATACCGGAATTTTGAGTACTGGGAAAATGTCATATTTGGTAAAGTAAATTTAGTGATTTAGTGAAAGTAAATTTAATATTTTCGAGTCCGATGAAAGCGGTAAAGTATAGCGAAAACCCTGTGAAGAATTAAATGTAAAAAATGTGACACCAACAGTTAAACATGGAGGCGGTTCCGTCCTAGTTTAGGGCTGTATGTCAGCTTATAGAAGGAATAATGAATGCTGATATGTATTTGAATATATTGAAAGAAAATCTCCACCCCAGTGCTGCTAAATTGGGTCTGGAAAGGCGATAATTCATTTTCCAACAAGACAATGACCCAAAACATACGGCCTGGTAAGTCAAAATGTGGTTGTTGTACAACACAAAACAAATAAAAACGCCTCCTCAGAACCCAGACGTAAACCCTATAAAAAATTTGTGGGCCCACCTTAAGCTCAAAGTCCGAGAAAACGAAATTTCCTCGAAAAATGATCTCAAGCGGGTACTACTTTAGGAATGGTCAAAAATCTCGGAAGATACGTGCCGAAATTTAGTGGAATCGATGCCAAGACGCTTGGAAGCTATTAAGAAAAAACAAAATACTAAAGCCAAAAAAATCCTTAAGATTAAGTGCCTAAAATAAAATGCTTAAGGATGTAATTGTTGAGGAATGGGGCAAAATAACCGCAGAGGACACTAAAAAATTAGTTGATTACATGCCGAAAGGTCTTACGGAGGTTTTGAAGCGAACATGATACCCTACTAGTTATTTTATAGATTAACAAAGATATAAATTTATGTTAAAAATTAGTTTTAGGTAAAGTGTTCGCAGACTTCCTGGTACATTTTTGGTAGCGTTATGTTTAAAATTAAAAATAAAATATAAAACATTGTTAGATAATTCTAAAAAAACGTCATTGAAGACAATAAAATGAATTTATGTTTAAAAAAAGTTTGGTTGAATATAAGCATAAATAACCTTACGATATGGTTGAAAGTTTGATTTTGAAATTTTTTTGTGAGTGTATAACTCTTTCGTTATTTTTTAATTTTAGTTATTTTATGAAATTGGTCAAATAATCTATGACAGAACACTGCGTTATTTTTTTTTTTAGTTGAATAATTATAAAACCTTTTTTATTAAAGTTTAAGTTTTTTGTTATTCCAATAATAAAAGCCGAAAAGCCTGCGTTATTATTATTTTAATATCTGCTTTAGTTAAAAAGGTCTTTGAATATACAAGATGCATCCAGCACATCCATTCACAACTCATGAGACAATACGAATAACTGCGTGGCTATCGTCTGAGTATGACCAAATAGTGTAAAAGCTAAGTTCCAAGTTGAGTATATCGAGGGTATTCTATTAAATACATTTAAACAATTTTTTTTTAGTATTTTCAGAAGGGTCGACTTTTAGCGACATCAGGCCATTTGTCATATAAGATACAATTTTTTTTGCCAAGAATAAATTTTTTTTAATCTATCTGGGCATTAAGAAAAACGAGTAATAAAAAGTGGATTTGTCTTGTATTTTTTTATTTTAGTCCATATATATGTTGATCACATGTATTAAACATTAACTTTACTTGCTACCAGACAAAGAGAGCGTGCGGTTGTGAAATAAATACTCTTAGCTATAAGTGAAGTTTCTTATTAATTGAATAATCGGGCTGGAATAATACTTTTAAAGCAACGTTACTTTGTTCTAATGAAAGCATTAGATTAGAAATACATTAAGAATGTGAAAATCGGCTTCTTTCGTTAAAAATTGATAGTGCGACGCGGATCATATCCTGTTCAATCATCAGCTCAGATGAAATAAAAACGCGATGGTGGAACTTAAAGGAGCTGGGTCAAGTAAAAATAAGGCCAAAAATCTTGCCAAGAGCATTATTTCTCAATTAGACAAATACGGAATAAGTCTAAGCGAAATAGTTTCAATTACATCGGATAACGGGGCCAATATGATAAAGACGTAGGAAATCTTATTTGAAACGAACTTGAGCGATGATGACATGAAAGAGGGCGGTATTAAACGTCGAGTACATAACCCAAATCGAGCTTTTTTAAAAAACTTCCGTAATCTTTCAAAAGACATTCGGAAGCAATGTTTGAAATAAAAATGTTAAATTACCTCAATTGGATTGTCCAACTAGACGGGGATCAACTTACAACATCGTTGACCAAACCAATAAGGCGAAAAGTTCATAAAGCCTTATGGAAACTGTAGAGAATAAATCAATTGATGACGATTTTATAGTGAACCAGCGCGACCGCCTCGCTTCGTTCCGCTTCTCAAGCTTGACATAAACAAAATAACTAAAATCATTTTCGTTTAGGTTTCTATTCAACAATTATTGAAGTGCTATGGGATATACAACGTTTCTTATTTTTCTATTAGGTGAGTAAACGAATAAATCGCAGTCTGGCAGTTTAACTTTTCCACTGGCGCAACACATCCCTGGCGTTTCGTTCTTAAATTTGAGTGCATATTGGGACTACTGATCAGTGGGCACCTGCAGCTAACGAAGGTTTTCTAATGATCACGTGTCATTTTATATCAGACACCTTTAAATTGACGTCTGCATTGCTACCTACAGCTCCGTTGATGACCCCCACAAGTCACAACGACCAAAATATTGCCGACTCATTGAGTTTAATATTGGCTAAGTAGGGCCTTTTATTAAAGGTTTTCACCGTTACAACCGACAATGATTACACTATAAGGAAACCGTTCGAAATTCTTCAATTTAAACATTTGCCACGATTGGCATCTACCATCAATTTGCTTGCCCAGGATGTTTTAAAACTGGAAGCCGTAGATGTGATCATCTCAAAATGCAAGCGAATTCATGCAAAAGCACAATAGCTACAGCAAAGCTAAAGCACAGAATACAAGAGAATCGCTTTTTTAATTCAATAAGTAACCACTAGGTGGAACAGTGCATACGAAATGATAAAAATAATTTTAAAAAATACATGAATATGTTACAATAACATTGGTTAAATTGCGAAATGCACACTTCACTTCTCACAGTTAAAAAAATTCGACATTTTAAGTTACCTGTCAGTTTTTCTGTCACCTTGTCAGGAAGTGGCTTTATCGGTGTCTACTAACACAAAAGATTCTGTGTCGCTGATCATTCCGGTTATTAACGAGATTCATCATTAAATGAACCATAAATTCCGGTAAAGTCCGCAACTCCACGGCGTCAACGAAAACCATCAGTACCAACGTCAAATGAACCACAATCCAAATTTTCATTTTTGAAAACAAAAACAAGGTGAGGTCTAACCCAGCCGAAGGAGTAGATTCCTGATACGTGCGACACGACAAACATGTTAAACACCAAATATTTTTTACAGATGAGAGATGACAACGCCCTAAAATTGGTTGCCAAAAAATATTTATGTATATGTCTGAATTCGGGTTATTTCATCCATTGTTATTCACTTTTTCATTTGGTTCGGCGGCACAGCGAGTTTTTTTTGAGCTGTAAACAATACGATTTTTAAATCGATTTAATCGATCTTTTTGGATAAGCGAAAAAATCGATTCTTTTTTAGGAAATCTATGCATGGACATGTTTGCTCACCTTAAATAAAATTTAAGCAAGCGAAAGAATTATTTTAATGTAATAGAACTCAAGTAAACTAATAAATATTAATCACTTCCACAATCAGTGTGTATTGGTGTTGAGGAAAAAAAATTGAGATTGATAACTTGATAACTTTTCCAAAAAAAAAATGTAGATTGTTATCCGCGTTGGATGCACAGTCACCGACCACAGAGCATCCTTATCGTTTAATCGTTTTCGATTTCAAATCGATTTAATCGATCTTTTCATGTATTGAATCGACTGTCAAAAATTAGAATTGTTTACAGCACTAGTTCCGCTAACATTCGTTACGCAAGCTCGAGTCAGTTATGGAAGAAACCAAAACGTTGTCTTCCTTCATTGCGGAGTTGGTGACTGGCTTATAAGTTCTTTGTTAAGATTCTTTTCTTTAAAGCGATGGATGGAGAGAGTAATTAAAAACACGACCGTCTTTGGTTCTGTTAACTTAGAGAGTGACTTCTATAATTTTCAGCGAAAGCCATGAGACCACCGCAACCATAAGTACATAGTCTTATATATCTTATATATCTTATATATCATACATACTAATAAAGAGGAGTAAGGGTTTCCTCTCAAGTGCTGGCTTGACAAAAATGGGTCTAAAGGCAACGACTCACCCTTTTGGTCGGTCGTTCCTCTCGTTGTCAATAAAAGTCCAAGTTTCAACATTTTAGTTTATGTGTGTCGAAACTAGAGTAGCTCTGGGAGGTTTAGTTGGCTCAATGTGCCGTGCCTGTGCTAGTGCTCTACTCTACTCGATCATTATGCTCAGCCCTGCTTTCTCAGCATGCCCTCAAATTGACCCTATATCGTAACTCCTTAACGGACCTCACTCACCAGCAGATACTGCCACCATCTCTGCTGCTATGCTTTTCGCATGAATTCCTGTTCTTCTCCGAATTTCTTTCCGATACGGCCTTCCTGACCTATCACACGTCCCTGTGTGTTGAATTTCTAGATTTGCCAGAACTACAACAAGAACTGCGTCAACGATGTCGTTGGCTCTCCAGCCAATTCTCTCATCGCAAGCTGAACCAAAAACAACCACAGCTACTGCTATTACTTCATTTACAAAGGCGACAAAAACTACGTCAACTATCCAAAACCAAAACAAAACTCAGGAACCGGGTTCGGTCATACAAGCGTAAGCTCAGCCCACAGAATAACGCTGTATGTATCAAGTCAAAAATAAACCGTGTCCAAACTGAAAATAAAATTCCCGGGAATTCTAACAGCAATAGATTTGCGCTACTAGCAGAAAATGAACCAGAACGGGCTCAGGAGACCCAAATCTGAAGAACAGTTTCGAGCTGTATCCAAATACCTGGAGGAATCTAGGAAAAGATACTACACGTACCAACTTAAAAGCAAGAAGGGCGTGCAAGTGGTAATAAAAAGAATTATCGATGCTCTCAAGGAAAAAAAAACGTTAGTAATATCGTGAACAGGAAAAAAGTGCAGCAACCACTCTTCCGGGTTGAGCTCGAGCCACACAGCAAAGTCCTACTTATTGCACCGAAGAATTACCGTGGAAGAGCCACATAAAAGAAACGGCCCAGTGCAATGCACAAATTCTCAGGAGTATGGACACACCAGGGCCTACTGTTCACTTCGAACAGTCTGTGTAGCTTGTGGAGACTTCCACAACTCGGCCAACTGCCCTGCCAACAAAGAAGACCCAAAAAGAAAAAATGCGTCAACTGCCAAGGTAACCACACGGCAAACTACAGAGGCTGCCCGATCTACAAGGAGTTAAAGGACCGAATGCGTAAAGTGACAGCAACGCGTCATCAGAATACCCTAAATGTGTACAATTACCCGCCGGAAGTTTTCTCCGACACGGCTGCTAGATCCTCACTGGGTCAACTAAATACCCAGAAGGGCTGCTCATACGCCGATGCCCTTCGACGGAAAACCCACTTCAGCCTAATCTAGAAAACGCTCAACAGACCCAACTTCTGTCGCAAGGCACTCTGGAATCTATGATGATCACCATGCAACAAAGTATGATGGAATTCATGTCATTCATGAAAACGAC